CCTCTTTAGTACTTTGAAAGAAAAAATGTTAGTTTGTTCATTCTAAATCTTAAGTTATAACTTTAGCTTTATTTTTTAAACAGGTATATTCCTTTTGTTTGATCTAACATTAGTTTATGAATATGTGAATATCTCTGATAATGAAAGTTCAAGTATAATACCTCATGCTTCCTCAAATGCTAAAGTTAATAAAATATCACAAAATGTTCTAACAAATAATACTCAATTGTTGGGTATTCCTTTGGAGACTTTAAGTTTCAAATAATCATTCACTACTATGCAGGAAAATACAAAAATCCAATCTTGAAAGAGATTGAAAAAAAGCTTTTGAATGACCTTGTGACACTTTTGGAGTCAATAGAGCCATTTGATCATGATACCATGCTATAGGCAGCAAATACTACTTTTGATGCTTTGGCTTATTTGTCAATTGAATGTAGACCTTTTGTTGATTGTGTGATGGAATTTATTCAGCATAAATTAAGAGTTTCAGTGTTTCACGAGTGGAGTCAATTATACAAAATAACTATAATCTACAAATGCCAACCATTCATTAAAACATTGAGAAATGTATAGATTTATCTAGCATCCAAACAAAAGAATTTGTTGCCTTAATTGCCTCTGGGAATTATCTTCAGCTAATCCATGAAGTGGTTTATCATGTCAAGGACATGCTTTTTCAAATTAGGAAGCTTAAGACTATTTTTTTTATGTGTTGCCAATGATATAAGGCAAGCAAAGAGAAGCATGCAAGCTACCTATCAAAAGTTGACAAAAAAATTGGAACTTTCATAAGAGGAAGAAGAGCAATGCATGGTAATGACAACATTAGATGGGGTAAGAACTCACCTTAATCTTATGATATATAGTACCATATGTTTTTTTCTTTTATATGAAACTGACCAAGTTTTATACATGTATAAGTTTTATACACGTATATATACATGGCATTTTAGACATGCTCCAATTCAAGTAAAATTTATAGGCTAAATCAACGGAAGTGACAAAAGATAGTAAGGAACTACTTCAATAAGACATATAAATGTCTGGCATTAACGAAAACAAAACAAAAAAGCCTTGGCCCACTTTAGATTAGAGAAGAACAGATGTAGATGTATTTATATATACTGCTATTATATTTTGGTTAGCATAACTTATGTGTATAACCATGTGTGTGGGTATTTAAGTGAACCTCTATCTAAAACTTTATCTTTTTGTTAATGACTTTTGAAATCACTTAATGACCTAAACATAGAAAAACTTAATGATTTTATAAGGTGCTGTAAAGCACATTATCATTAGCCATAGATCAGTTTTAGCTACAAAAAAAATAAGGTTTTCCTCCAAAAGTTTACGGGCTTTTTGCTCTCTTAATTTATGAAGTCTAGGCTCTTGTGTTAGAGTCTTTTTGCAACAATTGATATTTTAAATTGATATATCTTTCTATTTTCTTAAGTTATTAGGTATATTTCTCTATGTTGAATGTCGAGTTGCAAATAAAGTTACTTATTCTTTTGTGATCCAATGATGATGACAAACAAACATTCAATGAATAAGTTTAATATCTCATCATCATTAACTTTGACTAATGTAAATATTCAAAATATAAATAGTTGCATAATTTTTTTTTTGCTCTTATACATTGTTCAATATTTAAATTATTAATATATAATTTTATTTTACTTTTGTAATTAAATTATAAGTATATAACTTTATTTTACTCTCATGACGAAGCACGGGCTTGAAATCTAGTTTTAATTTAAAAAAAAAAAGGAATAATTCAAGTAAAATGGTTAAGTGAAATTAAAATCTTAAAATTTAATCACTTTAAAATTTTTGTACTTTGTACATAACTTTTAATTTTTAAAATTTTTATTTGATTTTGCTCTTCAATTTATTTTCTGACTTTAAAATTTTAGGTTGTTAGATAAATTTATAATTAGAATAATTTTAGTAGTTAGTAGATAATTGATCATCATTCTTCGTGAAAATGATATTTTTTTTATTTGATTTGTGATATTGTATACTTGTAATTAATGTAAAAAAAGCACAACAATTTTTTTTAAAAAAAAAGAAAGGGCAAAATTAAAGGAGATGATGACAACTCTAATTGAGTCAAAAGTACAATAATTCTTAAAAAATTATTTTTTAAAAAACTTGAAATAGCATTTATATAGTTTAGCTTACATTGGAAATAAGTTTAAAACTATCTCTTTCAAAGAATAAAAATTTTAAAAGTAAAAATATTGAAAAATATTTAAACTATTTTATTTTTTTAAAATAAGTTAATATATATTTATTGTACCTAAATTAGTTTTTATCCTTTAATATATATCCAAATAAGCTTTTATTTAAAAAAAGGTTGATTTATATTAAGTAGTTATTTAGGTGCAAATTAAAAATTAATAATTTTTTTGAATATAAATTAAAGATAAAATGTTTATTTAAATTTAAAAATTTATTTAAGTACAATAAAAATATAAAAGATTTATATAAATACAAATATAAAGACTTACATAAATAAAGTAATAAAATTTAAGAAATTTATTTTATAATGTTAACTTATTTTAAAATACCATTATGCTAGAAAAAGTTTACTAAATTGAACAATTGAGTTTTTTCTTAAAATAAAGTACTTATTAATTTTAATTTCGTAACTAAATTAGTTTTAAACTTTATTTTAAAACTAAAATACTTTGACTCAATTAAATTCTATCTCATCATTTTATTTCAGCATCTCCTTCGTTCCATCATCAATCCTCTCTCTCTCTCTCTCTCTCTCTCTCTCTCTCTCTCTCTCTATTTTTCAATTATTTTGTATCAATTTTCTATTATTTTAAATCATTCTCGAATATAAAAAAAAAAAAAAATCCCATTCCAATTGACAATCAAAATTTAGAACAGTACTTCTCCTATTCCAATAGTTGGGCGTTTCTGTTCCCATCTTCTTTCTTCTCTCTCACGCCAAAATCACTCTATTATAAGATTTCTGCGATGAGTAATAAAAATGTGACGCTTGCTACTTATAATTGACTCTTTTCTAATTTTTGGAATAATTTATTTTTGTCTCATATTTCACAATAGCTGACATCCTTCCCTCGCAATCTTTTTCTCTCATCATTCTTCTCTGATTTTTTTAGTGGCCAGATCTGTTAAAATAAGCTATTTTCTCAGCTCTAAAAGCACCTTTACCATAAGCTCTGTATTTTCCATATTGAAAGACTTTTTCCGGAGGATAGTTAATTTCATTTGGAGTATCCCTTTTGAGCAGTCCCTGATTTTTCTTCACAGACAATTGCAACTTGGACATAGCACCTCGAAGTTGAAGCACCCATGGAAACCAAACTCTCTTTCTGTGGTTTCAGCCCTTCAAAAGGAAGAGGATTTTTCGGGGTAAGGTAAATTGGGGAAACTTTCACATAGTGTTTGACGCAAATTATTTTACCAACAAAATGAAAGAATATTGGCCAATTCTATGAATTTTAGAACACGGAAGAAAATCCTTTAATCTGATTATGAAATTCTGTACAAAAAGCTGAAAGATGAAAGAAAGTCCTCTATTTTGAAAGTGGAGGCTATTATAAGAGATATCAAAGCATGGAGAAGTCAGTTTGAAGGTTTTCAATTAAATTGTGTAAACAGGAAAGCCAGTTTAGATGGCTAATTAGGTAGCAAACCAATAAAAGCAGGGAAGTCCCTCTCAAATTGTGTTCGTTTGCCAGCTTTCCGTTGTCTTGAATTTTTTAGAGGGCTTCTAAATTCACATAATTTTTCTCTTCACATTTTTTAAAATAAAATTATTTAATTATCATTTTCACAAAATTTTAAATATTTATATCCGAAAATTTTTACGATTTTTTAAAAATTTATTCAATAAAGGAAAGTGAGAAATTTTAAGAAAATTAAAAAAATTATTAAAAATTTTAAATAGTAAATATAATTGAAAAATTATTATTAATTTAACTATTTTTATCTTAAAAAAATAAAATTTTATGAGATTTTAATTAAATTAAGGATTCAATAATAAATATAATTTTTTATAAATTTAAAATTTATCATGTTTTTAATAAAATTTTTTTTATATTGATTATTAAAATTTTATAATAACTTTAACTAAATTGAACCTATTAAATGAATCTCTTGATAAATTTCTCTCATTAGTATATTAAATTTTGACAAAATTGTATAATAATTAATAATATTACTTATACAATTTTAAATAATTTCAACTCTTATATGTTGATCAATCGTCCTAAAATTTTATTCTTTTATTATTATTTGTGACATTAAGAGATAAAATATTTAATTATAATCTTATAAAATTTTATTCTTTTTTAATATTAAAATAATAAATTAACTTTCTTTTTATTAATTTTAAATTATAATATTTTTTAATAATAATTTTTTATTATAGTAATTAATAAAAATTTTAGTAAAATTCTTTTTTTATAATTTTTCTTCAAATCTCTATTAACTTTTTTGAAAATATATTTATGAAAGATTATAAAATTTATTAGATATTAATATCCAAAAACTTATGAGAAATATAATAAAACAATTTTACTTTAAAAAATTTTAAAAATAAGACGTTAAGAGTAAAAATAATGATGTATTTAAAAACTCTTTTTTTATTGTATTTATGACTATAGAGTTTAACATTCTATAAATAATATATATTTTTTCTGACGAAAAAAAAATTGTATCACTTCTCGTAAATACTTGTTTGATGAAACTTTAAATAAGAGAATAATTTTGGAGAAAAAAAAGAAAAAAGACAGAGAGAGAATATGTAGAAGATATCAATGATTTGCACAAAGAGAGAGAAAAGAGAGGATGTCAAGAGGAGAGGATTTAAGGAAAGAGACACTGATCGGATTAAAATGATGATATGCAATCTGAGTCAAATCATATTTGTTTTTTGGTCAAAACAAATCATTTTGTTTTAGAATAAAGTTTTAAAATATCCTAATTAGAGAATTAAAATAAACAATTACCTTGATGTAAAAAAAAAAAAAAAAAAGAAAGAAAAAACCGGATGTTCACAGCCTACGTTAAAACATTACTTTACATTTAGAAAGCCTTGATTGAATAGAGACAGCACATCTAAATATATTGATGCATATTTGACTCAATAATTGATGCAAGAATCTCTTTAAAAAGTAGAGTTTGAATCCCACCCCTCTAACAGAGGCAGCGATGGGCAGTCAAGCACTCTTGAGAATAATATTTACTGAGACTAATTGCTTCAATAGCTTAGCAAGGCATCTCAAACCTCATACACTTTCCTCAACCATGTCCCATCTTTCAAAAGCAAGTCTGGCTCCAAACATGGCCCAATCAGGTAAAGTCAAAATCATTCTATTTCAGACAAGTCATATGCATCTACAACGTGCTCTTCACTGTAAACTGTCTCGAAAGTTAACCATGTATATGGCAACTATGGTGACAATGGCCCCAATCAGTTGCAAGGTTGAGAAGGTCTCACCAAGGTATAAAAACCTATGGTCAGGAATCACAGCATTAGCAGTGGACCAAATTACAAAGACCAGAAAATCTATTTTATGTAAAATATATATATATATATATATATGGATGTTACTACATTAAGACACATCTATGGATGTTACTTTTTCATGTCAGAAATTTAACATTACATTAGAATCCTACATTACCAATTCTAAATTGAACATTGTGTGCAATGCAACATCTTACCCAAAAATTGAAGCAAACATAGGCGTCAAGAAGGTGAGGGAGCTGAGCTTCGTCAAGCTACCTGAAATCCATTAGTAATGCCAAATCAAATTTCATATACAAGTTTAAACCTGAAATGCCAGACAACTTTCAGATCAGAGATGCACCATATGTTGACCCCCCCCCCCCCCCCCCCCCCCCAAAAAAAAAAAAAAGGAAACTACCAAGATAAGGTATGGAAAAGAAAAAAACTCGTTCAAATTTCAAGTCAAATTTAACCTTTAGTTGCACTGTAGAAGTATACACCATAGCTGATGGCACTTCCAAAAATTGATGTATAAAAGAGTGCCAACACATCACTTGCCGAAAGCTCCTGAAAACTCCCATTAAAAACAGGATCATAATTGAGAATGGAAATTCCAACAAGAGGAAGACCACCAATAACCATGTGCTGCAAGAAGATTACATGTACATTAGTCTCCAATTTCCATATTACATAGAGGTTGTGCAAGTAGACAAAAGGACAAAGTATGACTTACTGTAACTTTGCAGCATCAATTATCTCAAAAACCTTTGTACCCCTAAAAGGAAGTAGCAAGACAGGAAAATGGAGCCTATAGGAGGAAAATTATATATATATATAAAATTAACTCCAGATTGCTTATATTTTGGTATTTGTGAAGCAACCAATCCTTTTTTCTGGTATCAGAGCCCTACTCGCTAAAATAGAAAAAAAAATTGTGACACAATTAGACTGGTAGATTGAGATAACCCAGCCTAAACAACTATGAACTTAGATCAAACCTCTACCTCTACCTCCTTTTGTAGTTTTTTTTAAACCCTCTCCGTACTTAGAAAATCTTCAGATGTGGATTTGGAAGGGTAGTTTCTTTGGAGAAGGGTATGAAGAATGCTAGAGATTTTAGCCATGAGGAAGAAGGCTGAAAGCAATCAGGGGGATTCATAAATGCTATTACTGGAATGATCTTCAAAGTATTCTGGATTCATTCTTAAATGACTAGCTTTTGTGGGGTTAACATTCTCATTAGGGTTATGAAAAATTCATGGTTTTGCCAAAATGGGTGTTTACACTTTTCAAGGAATTCTGAGTGTGTGGTTGCACATGAAGTCAAAATTAACATATGCTTAATGTCCTAAAAAATGTGAGATTGAAGGGACAAGGTGTAGAGGTTGGGCAACTATTTCCAAGGCTGAAAAAGGTGTTTATTCAGAGAGTTATTTTATTAACTTTGTTTATTTTTTCGGCTCAACTGCAATTTCCATATTTCTAAATTCAGATTCTTTTTGGATTTAGCGTTGCTTAAATTATACATATTATAATTGCTTTATTGTACCAACAAGGGATTGGCTCAATCAGTAACTTTGTTCGCCTATCAAGGTAAGTAGTCTTGAGTTCTCCCTTCTCAGTCCCCACTCTTTGGAGGCTAAAATTCTAGGATCTACAGCATGTAGGATGTAATTGCAGACAAGCCCAACAAGTTTTAGATATTTAAAATCTGTTGGTGTTTCGAATCTTCAAGACAACAAATTCAGATCACTGGAAAATTTGTTGGCTGTCTAACTTTGAAAGGTGTAGGAGACCCTGAACACATGGTGGCTGCTGTTGAAGTATTGCGGTAGACCTTGAAACAATTGTAGGCTGGCTTTGAATCTTCAGCCATTAGCCAGGTAGGATGGTTATAAATAACCAAGTTAGCAGCCCATTTTATTTGTTATGAAAATAAAACAATAAGAGAGAATTCACTAACAATTCGTCATGCAAGGCTGGAAATCCTACATGATCAAGCTAAGGCTAGAATATAATTAGATTGTCTCTGTTTCGAGATAAGAAAAAAAATTCTCTCTTTATTAGGAAGAACATTATTCTTGTTGGCTGCTAAATTAAAAGATAGAATTATTAAACCTACTTGGATAATATGCAATTAGATATTCCCTTTAATGGTGGTTGGATGGAGTTTGGTAGATATAATATATTTATATCATTATTTTAAAAGCTAAAACATGATCATTTGATTGGTGTTAATGGCTGATATTGAAAGAATTTAGATTGATATGGTTTAATAAAAAAACATATCGTGTAGAGACCAAAGTGCTGGGTATCTACAACTTTCGATTTAGTTTTGTATTGAATTGGACAATTTCAATATTTGAATTATATATGGATGAAAATCTAGTCAAGTCTACTTTCAAAATAATCAAATGGAAAAGATAAACCTATCTTATTAAAGGGTGTGTATGCTGTTCAATAGCTACACCAGCATTAACTTAGAAAATTTACTGTACTTTCTCTAGGTGGAGTTACGGGTTGATCTTTATACAATATTAAGTCATTTTCGAATGCATTAAACTAATAATGATTTGGAGTTTTATAACTTAAGATAATTGTTTTAGTAAGCAGTAACAAGTTGCAAGAATTAGAGTTTAGGATTGGTTGAAGGCTAGTACAGTCATATATTAATTACTAAATATGTGATTCTTACTTATACATAGTTGTAATTTATAAATATTAGGCTGATAACCGTATGGTACATCAAGAAATCATATGTGATTGTATACAAATTAAGTGACTTACCAAATCTCCAATTGTTTTTTAAATGTGTAAGTATATATATGTTAGAAATATGCCAAAAATGGTTTCGTATATTTTTATATGAAAATGGGTCTTCATTTGGATTGTTTTGATGGAATGTTTTGTGAATGGTAAAATGATTTGGAAACCATGAGCTAATGAGTTATGATTCAAATCTATCTAGAAATTATGCCTTGGAAAAATATATTGGAATTGAATTGGAATTTGCAAAAATGTTCTTCGTCATCATGGTTTTGTAAATCCATAAAAGAATTGAAATCAGAATGGTTATAAAATCTGAATTTGGCTACCTTCTAGAGCCTACCTATCATTGGGGATGAATAAAATGGGAAAACATGCTAATTTGTTTTTAGCCTATACGGGGTATATTTCTGAATCTGGACCTTGCTACAAGGATGAAAGTGGACATAGCCTATTGAATCTGAATCTGTCTGTGTTTTGGACTCTACCATTGGGGATGGATACATTGGTATTACATGCTAGCATTATACTTAGCCTCTTTAAGCATGCCAGCATTATACTTAGCCTCTTTAAGGTTATTTCTGAATCTAGACCTTGCACTAGAGCGTATTTCTGAATCTAGACCTGCACTAGAGTGAAAGTGATTGTAGCCCATTCAATCTGTTTATGAATCTAAATCTAGAATCATACATGAATCTTAATCTTTACTTGAATACGAATCTGTATCCATGACCATTCAAATTATTTACCACCCATACTTCCTTATTTGAATCTAAAAATTCATTTAATTATTGAAATCTGAATAATTTGTGAATAATTGTCTCTAATGAAACATTGATTTTTGAACAATCTGTATCCATGACCATTCAAATTATTTATTTACCATACTTCCTTATTTGAATCTAAAAATTCATTTAATTATTGAAATCTGAATAATTTGTGAATAATTGTCTCCAATGAAACATTGATTTTTGAATCCATTAACAACTACTAGTTGGCTAGTCTTTGTGGAATTCGGGTCAAGAGAATGTTTCTAGCACTTATGATATTTTAGCTTCGACTTACTATTCAGTGATAGATAAAAACTTTAAAGATTCCTAGTCTAACAATAAATGAGGTGAAGGATTTCAAAACCTCTTATGAATTATTTTTGATCTTATCTAACTTTACAAGATTAAATTCAAACTTATTTTGGAATTTCTTTAAGCATTTGTTGCAAGTGATTATTTAGAATCTGTAGCTTCACATACTTGCAAAAATATGTGGCTGTTGTTGAGTCCTAGACTAGGATCAGTGGCATAGGAGAATACTTTTAATAGATGAAAAATGCTTTTACATTACCTATTTTACCCCTAAAACTTACATCTAAAAGTTGACTAAAGCTAATTTAAGATGAAAGGTGTCATTCCTTTTTCCTCTTTTTTTTCCTCTTTGTTTTTCCTCATTCCTTTTCCCTGCCACTGTTGGCCAACTTTCATGCCAACAAAAAGGCTAGAGCCAATCTTCATGGTAGATCAATTGAGGAGAGGCCCAACTAGAGCTCAATATTGGATCGGCACTAGAAGAGGTCAAATGTAGCCCATGCGTGCACCATCCAGTAGCTTTGGTCACCACTCTGGAGTGGCAGGGGTCAAATCCTACCCTCCACATCCAGTGGCTAGCCTTTGGTTGGCAGGAGAAGAAAAGAAAAGAAGAGAAAAAAAAAAAAGAAAAATTATATATATTTTTGTTCAAAAATTTAAAATTATATTTATAACCATAAATTTGAAAATTTATCATATTTATTTAAGTAAAGGTATTTTTGACCATTGAAAAAACTTCCTATCTTATCCTTAATTATACACACACTAAACATGGTATAGGATAAAAATCATCCTAACTACTCTGAATCCTTACATACACCAAACATCGTATAAGATGATATTATCTAAATCAATCCAATCCAATCCACGATGATATTATCTAATCCAATCCAATCCACTTCCTTATCTTATTTTATCCGTTACACTCCATAATTTTGCACGCCAAACCAACTACGCTGTTAAAGTATGTTTGGATAAATATTAGCAAACGAAAGCAAAAGAAAAGAAAGGAAGATTTTTAAAGGAAAGGATATATGTACTCACTATTTGGATAGCTAAAATTAACAAAGGAAAGGAAAGAAAATAAATCCTAACAATCATTATTTGGTTAAAGAGCGGAAAGGAAATGATTCATTATAATATTTTTCCCAAATTTACCCTTTTTAAATAAAATGTTTTATTTATCAACCGAATAATTTACAAATTAATTATTTAAGTAAAAGAAAAGGAAAATTTTAATAAAAGAAATGGATTTTTATTAATCCATAAAAGAATGTATGTTTGGAATTATTTCCAGACATTTATATTTTATTCAAAATTAATTTTAATGAGAAAATTACAAAATCTATATATGTCTTAGTAAATAAATTTAATTATAAACTTACATTAGTATTTTCTCACAAATTTACAAGCTACATTAGCATCAACATAATTTCTCCAATTGTATGTGTTTTTTCATGGACATGTTTTATTTTCTCAAATTTGTGAAGTAGTAATAAAATAAAAAAAAGATATAAGGCTCTAGCTTAAACGAGGAAAAATAAAAGATATGATTTCTTTTTATTATGGACAATGGTAGATTACCTAAATCAATAATAATTTCAAATTTATTTTCATATAAAATAAAGAAAATATTCTAAAAGAAAAAAATAATATAATATACATACAAAAAATTCATAAAAATAAATTTGAAGACCTTATTATTAGAAGTTGATGAAAGTTATAAGAAAGTAAAATAAGTAGAGAAAGGAGTTTAGATGTGATAAAAAGTAAATATTAATATCATTTATCAAGTTTACAATGTATTCTTTGAAATTTGATGAAAATAATAATGATATAAATGTCATTTTATATTTTAAAAAATTTTATCTCTTTTCTTTCCCTAATTTTGCCCCAAATTGGGGTAATTGAAAAATGGAGCATTTGGGCGAAAATGAGGGATGCTCAATCCCCCTTCCTTTTCTTTATTTTAATTTAAATAATATCCAAACAAGGAAAGGTTTCCCTTTCCCCAACTTTTCTTTCCTTTACTTTTCCTCCCCTTCAATTCAAACATAGGCTTAAGGTTAAAAACGAGCATCATTACATATAATCAATCGAGAAAGGGGTACATCCACTCACAAATGTCACCCTTTAGCTCTTTACATGTACTAATATCTTGAAAGTTATGTCTTTCTTCTAGTTTTGACAATGCAGAGAAGGTATAAAAAATGAAACTATAGTTTCATTCTGAGCTTTTGGTCCCAATCTAGTTTCATAGGAATTGAAAACAAGTTTCAGGAGAAACTGATATTGTGAAGGGGAAAGTTGTTGAGAGTAGAAGGAAGAGAAGAAGCATGACATCGAATATGTAAAAGTAATGTATACACACTTCATCTTGTGGTTCAAGTACACAAACCTAAGGAAGGATGATCAGGTTTTGAAGGGTAAGTCGATGTAGATGTCAATATGAAAAACGAGCATGGAAGCTGAGAGGTTGATGGACCTGTTTTTGTGAAAATAAAACTTGAGATTGTGGATGATGATGACTTGCTTATTTAATTTCCGAGATGACAAATTATTAAAGTCATGGTTGTCTCACTCTTATCTTCTGTCATGTATGCAGCCAACTATCTCTTTAGAAAGAAAGAAAATAAGTAAAAACTAAAGATATTTTCCAAAGTCGATGAGAGGCATCACTAAGAATGACAGATATATAATAAGCTTACGATAGAGGAAACTGGGATGCCTACCCATCCAGTTGCCATGATAGGATCAGAGTATTTGGAAACCCAGCGGACCATTACTGTTCCAACTGCCATACTCTGAGCTGCAAGGAGCATCAACCACTCTCCACTCCCCCATAGTGAAAAATTACTTTCATCTAAAGCAAGTGCAGGTACCTGCAAAACACAGTTCATCTCATACTAAGGGGAAACATATGAACAATCTTATTTGCTTAAGCAAAAGCCTAAAACTATGAAATTATATTAGATCAAAATATATTATAATATAAAGCCTTAAACAACAACAAAATCTCTTAGAAGACACCATATACATGAGAACTGTACTAAAAAGCACAATAGTGATAGCTGTTCAAAGAAATGAACTAGGACCTCACCCTTCTAAAACAAAATGAACAAACCATGGTTCACAAGGAATAAAGAAAATGGTAGTTTGTTTTAAACAAAGTGTTACGTAGGTCCATAACTAACCTCCTAAAAGTTAAAAAATTTTCTATAAAATTCTGTACATGTATGATTGTATGAGGCAAATATGCAAACAAGATCATCCTTTCGTGATTTAGATTTTTTGAGTTTTACTCACTACACTATATCAAAATGGTGGGCACTCATGTCAAGCCCAAAGCATCACTTCCTGATGGGTAATTTCAAATCAAACATAACTTATTTGATATTATTCATTCACATAAACACATTCCCTAAGGCTTGGACACAACCATCTAGCACAAACAACTCCTTGGAGATCAAAATTCCCATCCAATAGTGAAAACCATGAATTACATGTGAATTTGTTAATAGCTTGGAGATGAAGCACTATGCAACTTGATTTCCCATGATCTGTAGCCTAAAAAAATTGAGCAAATTAACAAAATCATTTTATAGGTATTTAATGAGTTTCTATGAGTTTCAGCTAAGATGGGTAATGCTTGAAGCAAAGTGGTTAATTCAATTAAAAGATGCGCAAAAAGTTGTTTCTCGATCAGTTTGAGGTCTAAAATGTTGATTGAATAATTCAAGATGAGTTTGGAGTGAGATCGAAGTGTTCAACCTGAAAATCCTAGTATTGGATCAATTATCTGCATATCTTATATCAATACCAGATATTCTTGGGTTTTGCCTTGATTATCCTGTTTAGTATGGATATTGTAATTTTTTGGGATTCAACGAAGAATACTCGAATTACAAGATAAAATATTCAAATATTTTAGTTTAACAAATCTAAAATTATTTCACGACATCCAAAAATCTGGGTATCCAACTCAAGACCTTAACATTTAACACTCTGCAATATGTACTACCACCTAAGACTAGTGTGTGTGCATGTGTGTGTGTGTGTGTGAAAAAGAGAGGGCATAGTTTTCTTAAAATTTAACCCATAGAAAGCAAAATGAGGAAATTAGAGTTCATTGGAAAAAAAAAAAAAAATAGTACCAGTATTCTGCATCATGATTGAATCTCTGTACAGGTGGATTGCTATTTAAAATGAGTCAATTAGTTCTTTGTTTGAAAACCTCTAAAACTCTACTTGTCGCTTAGCATTTCACTAATGAGTTGTTCAACTCCAGGTATTGACCAAGATTATTATTTCAAATTTTGATAAGGAATTTGAGTGTTTTTAGGCCATCTTTGAGGAGAATGTTGAATACAAAGATAAAATTTTGTTCATTTTTTCAACTTCCCAGCAATGGCAAAGCAAAAGTTCTAACAGAAGCTCCTTGATCTACTTCATTGTTGTGTTCATGATCATGTAGTAAATTAGGATACAAATTCTCCCATGATTGAATTTAGTTAGAAATTTCCTATGAATCAAAGCATCGAGACTCATCTTGGTAGTGGGACCAGATGCTTTGGCAAAGCATCTTGATGATATTTTGACAACATTGGATATTTATAATTATGAAATTTTTAGGTGTTAACTTATGAATTGCAAATCTTTGAAGTGCTAAGTTACAAATCAAGAATCATTGAGGTTCTTACTTGAAAATATGAAAACTTATAGAATAAATTCAAAATCATTTGAAGTTTGGATTGTAAGATTGACAGCATATAGATACCTCAAGGTACAAGTCGCCACTTAGTGCCAGCCAACAACCCATTTTGATTGATGACTCATTAGCTAACTTTTACAATGTCCATACAGTCTGGTCTAAAATCAGTTGATTCAGGTCCAAGTGTCTTAAATAGAGCCAAGCCGGTCTAAAATCAGAAGGAAATAGAGAAACCTGTTCTTTCTCCTGCCAGTAGTTGAATGCTGTATTTTGGTTTTAAAACTTAGTCGTGCCTTTATAAGGTTGATTGCATAATTAGGCTATGACCTATAATTTGTAGCAAGTTGTCTTAGTTGTCTAATCATTTTTTAGGTTTGATAAGTTAGAACTCTGAGAATAAAGGAAGAACAGATTATTTGATTGTTTTAAGCTTAAACATTTCCTACTGATTTGGGTGTTTGAAATTTCATAAGGTATTCAATCAGTTCATCGTGAGTAAACATATGATGATTGATGGAAAAAGGTATTGGCATTGGAAGCATTTGGAAATTAATTTCTACATTTTTAAGCTCAAATACCTAATTTCAAGGATAAATTGATATTTTTAGGAGATTTTGAGTTTTGATTTCAAGTGAGTGGCTAATTATAATTAATTCCCTAATATTTGCAGCCTTTGGCCTTCAGTTAACCATTCTATTGAAATACATTGATGTTCCTTATATTTGACATATTAGATTGTTGTTGAATCCTTTTGTTAAAAAATTGTTCTCTTTATTGATCACCATATGACCTTTAAGTTAGAAATGAGTCATATGTGTTTTTTTTTGGCTTTAACTAGTTTTCATTGTACCAATTACTCCAGTTATCAAAACCTCTCAACTTCTACTGATATACCATTTAAGTTCAGATTAAAGCCTTTCCAAAATACATTTAGTATGCCAAAATGATCCCAAAGGCATAGTTATCAACCCTTTTCAAATTATTTCTATTTAGAGTGTTTTAGGATGGTTATCAATATTTATACATTTTGGTTGAAGATATCTCTTGGTTGAATTCAGGAACTCTGTCTAAGAGTTGTTTCATCTATTAACATCATTAGAGCTCTTTTTAAAAGTGAAATGACTTTATTGGACTTGTTTATGCAATTTGATCTACTATGATAGTATAAATTATCTTTTAAACTCATTTGAAATCATTGTATTATAAAATAGAATTTTGAAGAGATTTATGTGCTTTTTGAATCATTTTAACAGAATTTCACATCTAAACCAAAATGAAATCAGGCAAATTTTATTAGCCTATGCACTTTGAATATGACATTTTATGAGCATTAATGTCACTATTTTGACCTATTTCATAAATCAGTGAAGCCTTATATGTTTTGACCATGCCCATTCAGATTTGACCAATGGGAGTTTGACCCATTTGATTATTCAATGAGAGTTTGGATCATCAGCGCACTGATAAGAAATTGATATATGGACCTGTTTAGATGGTAGTATCCTCTATGGGAGTTTGAACTGTTTAGATGCATCAATGGGAATCTGAACTTTACTGTACGGTGTCAACGAGAAATGTGAACCAATGTGAATACTGTTTTGGTAAGATTTATCCGTGTAAGTATATATTTTCATAAGAAAGAACTTCAAAATATTTTTTGAGCTTTTGAGTATAAGAACCTTATTAGTTTGTTTCAAAGATTATTCATAAGTTATGAGCTTTATTTTCGATATGAGTACTTCGATAAGTCTTTGTTTAGAACCTTGTGATTGCCATATTCTAAAGGTGTTGGAAATGCCCCCAATTTGGTCTCTTTTTGCTTCTACTTGCGGTGCGTTTCATTTCCTTAACTATGATTAGTCAACTCGCTGAACTTTGTGGGCTCTTTAACTTTGCTTAATTTTTTCAGACTAAGCTTTAGAATAGTTCAGACACAAGTTTGAATGTATTTGGCAAGGGTGTGTAAGAAAGTGATATTAGATCCTAAAGGACTTTTCTTGGTATTTTAGAATTGCTCTTATAACTTTGAAAGTATAATCTTTTCTTAGTATTTTGCACATTAGTATATGAAAAATGCATATAAACCTTGAACAAAAGGCTATGGGTTTGGGATGTGACAGAGATGGTATTAGAGCACTTAACTTTTACCAAAAGTTCAAACTTGAGGTCTCGACTAAAAGACATTAAAGCAGAGGATAAAGTGGGGGTTTGGCCCAGCATTAGAAGCATTTCTACTTTAAAAGCTGAACTTTTTTGGGCAATCTAGCTTTTAAACTTTTTAGTTCATCAAGAAAGCTAATTTTAACTATTAAGAGAAGTTAAAAATTGAAGGTTCACATCAGGCTTGTGTTCTAAACCCTATCGAAGTCATGTTATTTTTTTTTTTTTTTGCACTAGAATGATGAGTCTATTATATACAGGTAACTTAATGGGATTGTGATAACTCAAAACAAGCAAATACCAAGCTAAAACTCATCAAATTTCCTTTAAGTGCTATTTTGTCTCCAACATGCTTTTGATTGATTTAACAAGGTCAATAAATAAATAATTCATGCATCTCACATTTAGACAGAACTTCTAGGAAGCAATATATAATTGTATTTGTATTAATGAATCAGATAAACCATAGCTCGAAGACTGATAATCGATTCAGGAAAAAAGAAAATCTGGAGTGATAATTATAAGAAGTAATAAATGATTATATTGATGAACAAGTACATAAACCATAGCGTGAAGACTGATAATAGATTTAGAAAAAAGGGAAAAAAAAAAAAAACTAGTGCTTATGGCTTACCTCCAGAAGCACTAGTCCGATAACCCCAAGGGCTAGTCCTGCAGCTCCTACTAATCCAATGGACTCATCAAATAACAAGGCAGCAAGTACAGCCACTGTCAAAGGCTGTGAGTCAATTATCACCTGAAAAAATTCAAACAGGAATAGGTCATTCTTTTTAAAATTTTTTGGATAATTAATAGGTCACCTTTCTAATATGCTTATCACAGAAGGAGAGAGAGATTAGGTACTAAATTGTCTCCATTATAGACAAATTAGAATGGAAGGAAAAGGAAAACATACACTGCCCAAACCTGCAGAAGTCCTCTGCAATCCTTGAGCAAGAAAACCCTGAAGATTCCATCAACAAATATAATATATATATATATATATATAATTGGACAATGTTTTCCATGCTTTGGAAGAAAAGAAAAGAATAGATAAGGAAGAGAAAGCAAAGACCTGGAAACACGAGGCGTCCACAAGAGCAAAGAGAGCAATGGAAAGCCAAGCAGTGAGGCCAGAAGGCAAAGGCCTGCCCTTTGACTTGGCAAACGCCACCAACAGCAACCCCGCCGGAATCAAACGAAAAGAAGCCACAAAGAAGGGCCCTGCTTTGGGCAACACCTCCTTCATTGCCACCATTGCCGTACCCCAGAAGAAGAATGGGGACACCAGCACTGCCCACTCCAATAAAGTGTTGCTTTTGCCCTTTTCAGCTTGTTCTGCTTTTTTTTCTTCCTTTTCATTTCGAGAGACAAGGCACTCTGCGTCCAGGCCTGTACCCAAGCAATCCACAACTTCTGGGTCTTTAGCTTTGCAGTTGATTCTGAAACGAGTGGAGTGGGCATTGAAGATATAGGATAGTTTTAAAGTTTCTGAAAACTGGGCAACAAAGGAGCTATTGTATTTGTGTGAGGCTGACGAGAATGACCATGAAGAAGAAGAAGAAGAAAAAGCAATACTATTATTATTACTATCATACAAGGAGAAAAAAGGAGGGGAAGAGGGAAAGGTCCAGCAGTTGCAGCACCCCATTTTCCCCAATGCCGATAAGGTTTGAAGCTTTAATTTGCTACTCGCATGTCAGAAACTCGGAAATTAACAAATAAAAAATACAATTACTATTTGGGCCAGTGGACTTAAAGTAATTACTACTATGGAAAAAACTATCGCTAGGCTTTATCTACGGGAAATTCTAAATACATTCCAAGTTTTATTTTCTAAATCTCATTTTTTTAAAAAATTTTTTAGTGATACCATTTAATTATTTTTTATAAAATTTTTAAATTATATTCAATAAATTTTTTAATTTATAAAAAATAAATCTATTTTCAGAGGGTGAGAAAAATTTTTAAAAATTATTAGAAATTTTTTATTAATTAGTGTAATGAAAAAAATTATTATTGAAAAAATTATAAATTTTAAAATTAATAAAAAAAGGTTGATTTTATTATTTTAACCTTAAAGAAAATATAAAATTTTAAAGAAAAGAAAAGAGAACTTTTTTCACACAAGCTTCAGCGTACTATTCCACATCAAATAAGGATTTGCTCAGATGTGTATCATCTTTTAAGTTTGGTATATTTTAAAAATCTAAAATCATGAAAGAAGAAAATTTTTTATCTTTTAGTAAAGATAAAGCTAAATGCAATTTTTCGATTAATTTAATATAGAGGATCAAAAACATCTTGCCTAGCACCTTTCTTTACCACCACTAAATCAACATAAAATAAAATTAGAGATCATAATGAATAGTAAATAAAAATATATCTATTATTATTCGATTTGTTTATATCAAATTTGGATAATAATAAATGAATAATTAACAAATTTGGATAAGAGATTTATTATCTGTAATGAATTTAGAGTGAATATGAATAGTATTTACTGAATATTTAATATTTAAATCCGTTTAAATTTAATAAAAAATAATAGATATCTAAATCTATATTCATATCCGTTATCCATTTATATATATAAAATATATAAAATTTTATACTTCTATAAGATTTTAGACTTTAAAAAAATAACTTTTATTTATTATTAATTAAGATTGAACTTAAATTTTAAATTAAAATTCTTGTTTATTTTATATTTTGACAAAAAATTTACATAAATTGATATTTTAATAGATTAAGATATTTAAATGAAGAGTACTTAAACTGATATTTAAATAGATTCAGATTTAGATAATGATATTAAGTTTAAACAAATTTAAATATTATAATTATTAAATAAATTCGAATACAAATATTTCAAAAATAATGGATATCCACTCTGTTGACACTTTCAAATAAATGCAGAATTTAATGAGACAACCCAGAATTTACTTGTATGCACATTATTCTTACGAAATTCAAGTTTATTAAAATGTTGTTAAATGGTTGGCAATTTGTCACTAAAAAGTGGTCTTAACATATCAGTATGAGGGGAAACATGTTTTTTATTATAAAGTAGGTTGAATGTTTACTCCGACTAATCTGTCCAAGAAGTAGATCACGTACTTGTACAACCATTGTGGTCATTTGTCCATTAGATCCAAGAGGAATTCATGAAATAAGAAATGATGATTTCACCTTGGGCCCAAACAGAAACAAAATTCTACATGCTAAAATCAAGAAAAAAGGAGAATAAAAATTGATAATCATTCCTAATAAATTTTATGTAGACATTTTTAATCATCTATTTATTGTAATTGAAACACCAATCAACAAAATGAAAGATATATCTTCCAGCAAGAGTGCTAGCAAGATAAATATGATAATAATTTTTTTTTTTTACATCAGAAAGACAAAATCCTAATACAAGTAAGGAGAAATGGGAAGCCTGACCTTTGATGTCCCTTTAAGTGCCTTTAACCACTAGGTTAAAGACTTGGGGACAAAGATGATAATAGTTACTACACTGGAAATGGTGACAATTCACAATTTAGAGAAAGTTTTGTTTCGATCAATCAATCCAAGCCTAAGCTTAACTAGATTAACTAGTCAACTTATTCTTTAATTAATTGTTGCAGGAATACAGGCATGATCCTGAGTAGTTATCTATTTGATAAATATTTACCAATATTTCAACATGAATTGCTCATTAAAAAAAATTAAGTCAAGATGGCACTCAAACCAAAGAATAAAAGACCATAATTTGGCCATAGCTTCCAATCATTTTCTTAAAGTCCTAGCATATGCAATTAAGTGGAAAAATGGAACTAAGCAATTTATAGAGTAACTTTGTATTAATGATCAATGCTTAATTTAGGATTTAATTTTTTTATCTGATTTTCAATTAAAAATATAATCTTAAATTTGATTAAAATAAAAATAAAATATTTTTAAAATTAATTAATTAATGATTTTTTAATAGAAATAGATAACATGCGTGTTATAATAGTGTGATATCTTGAAATAATGTTGACAAGAAGTAAAAATATTAAAACCTTAAAAGAGTATTTGGTTTACGAAATCTTAAATTTCGAGAGAAAAAGTGATTTAGAGGAAAGTGATATTGAAAGAGAATATGTGATTCTTAAATTTTTATTGACTTAAGGAATCTATGATTTTTGTATTTGGTTTATGGGAACGTAAGATTACCTAATAAAGTTATTTACAACATTATCTTTGATAATACATAAATAACACATGACATTCATAATACTAATATATGAATAACATGTTATTGTCCCTCCGTAGGAAGACATGCGGATCAACATTCACATTAAGGTTGATATAAAAGTTGGAAAGGGGTGGTAAAATCCCCTCTCAAGGGTTTCCAAGGGCAAAACCCCTAAAACAAATTTTATGTGCAATAATATTAAATAAATGTATTTTAGATTTTATATATAATAATATAATTTTTCATGTTCTTAACAAATTTTATGTTTTTATTTTAAAATCGTTGTCTTTTCAACAAAGACAATGTTTTTTTATTTTAAAGCACCGTCTTTGTTGAATTTTGAAAAATATTCTTTTCATATTTTTAATAAAAATTACATTTTTTATCTTAAAAATATCATCTTTATTAAATTTTAAAAAATATTTTTTTCATATTTTCAATAAAAATTACATTTTTATCTTACAAACGTTATCTTTTCAACAAATACCATGTTTTTTATCTTAGAAATGTCTTCTTTATTAAATTCTAAAATTTTGTATTTTATGTTTTTCAATAAAAACTGCATTTTTATCTTAAATTTGTTATTTTTATTTAATTTTGAAAAATATATTTTTCATTTTTTAAATAAAAGATTATATTTTTATCTTAGAAACATTGTCTTTTCAACAAACACTATGTGTTATATCTTAGAAACATCATTTTTATTGTATTATAAAAAATATTTTTTTCATGTTTTTAACAAAGATTGCATTTTCTATTTTAGAAATGTAATATTTGTTGAATTATAAAAAAATATTTTTTCATGTTTTTAACAAATACTGTGCTTTCTATCTTAAAAATGTTATTAGTTTCAGGTGATCAATTACTATGATTTACCAATAACTACATTTTCATAATAAGAAACATAGTCATTGATATGAAGAAATATAAAACAAAATTTAGTAGTATCAATTAATATGTTTTTTACATACAAAACATAATTAAAAATAACATAAATACTATATTATACTGAATTTACCAACAACAGCTACATTTTTATATAAAAAAATTTATGTTTTATCAATTACTACATTTTCATGTTAAGAAACATTGTTGATATTGAAAATATAAAATTTATTTTGTTATTATTTTCTAAGGTTAACTACATTTTATATGTTAAAAACATAATGCTTTTGAAAATTTAAAAAAAAATCAAAATCCTAATTGCCAAGTATTTAATCGTGTGGTTAGGAATATAGTTTTATCCAATCGTGTGTCTAGTAATATAATTTTATGTGTTTGAATGAGTTTGGATTTATCATACAATTACGTTAATTTTGAAGGGTAAAATAAATAGTAAAAAATTATTATTGAGATAAAAAATGAGACATAATTTACTTTCTTTTAAAAAATCTTGGTTTCTAATTTTGAGCTATTTAGACACTGTTAAAAATTTTAAAATACCTTCAAGAATCAAATACCTAAAACAAATTAAAGAATTAGATTACTAAAACCAAGGTTCCTAAAATAATCTAATTTTTCCCTAAACTAAATGTCTGGCAACTCTTTTATTCCATCTTCTACTCTTATACCCAAACCTCTCTTTAATCTCTCTCTAAGCCTGTTACACTGCCATCCAGTAGCTTGCCATCATAGTAGTAGGTGTTGCTCTTTCACTTCTTTTGTTTCTTTTTTCTCATTTTTTCCTTTTATGTTTTTTTTTTTTTTTATAAATTTTGTATTTCCATTTTAAACTCAATGTTGAATGTGGAAAGCCCAAATCCCTTTTTTGGTTTGTCTGCACAATTTTGCTTTAATTGTATACAAACCTAAGTGTTTGTCTTGAAAATAAAAGAACATCTTAAGTAGATTTTCAAGCGATCATTGAGCCGTTCCCTAGTTCGGTTTCATTGCTATCTCTATAGATTGTTCATAGTCGCATATTCATTGCAGAGAGGATAAGTACTCCTTATAGTCACAAATCCACTGTTTTTCTTTCTTTAGTCAGACTAGTGTACATTTCTCGTCTAACTTTGAGTCTTTAGTGTCTCTTTTTTTTTTTTGTCTTTTCTGTTGTGTTTTTTTTTTTCTTGTCTCTCTTATTATGCTTTAGACATTGAAAGTTGTTATGGGTATTTTTATGTCTAGAGGACAAATTGACCTTTTCTCTCATTGGAAACTATTAATAGATAATGAGGAATATTTTTTACTTTTTTATCAACCTAATATGTTAAACAACCTAACATATACAGTGCCAAGTTAGCTCAACTACATTATTATCCTGCTCGACATACCATTCACCTTCTGCTTATAAATAGAGTCATCTATATACTATCTATCTAATCTAACTTTTTCTTTACTTTTTTATTTTTCTCTTTTTCCAACCTCTCTTATTTTGACCTCTGACTTAAGCTTTGAAGTGTAAATGCATGGGATACCCCCTGCCTTTTACTCTTAGCCGTTCTCTTTTTCTCTTATGATTTTTGGGTCCTAACCCTCAACTCAAAGTTCGGCACCAATATTTGGCACACCAGG